CAATACACCAAAACATATACCCCAGAAGATGTTCCATGAGTTAAAATCCATTTTACTGGGCGCTTTTTTTCTTTTGACCTGCCATGAACACAAACCTTTGCCATTAAATCTGAATAGTAGAAAATCTGTGAGAGCAAAAATACTTTAGCAAACGAGCATTTACTATTTAAATTAAACGATACTCTTTTGTGGAATTTAGAATCAGGTTAGAAATATTTTTTATATCTTTAAACAAAGAAATTAAACAGTCCTGAAACACGAAACGTTAAGTTGAGTCGGGTGACGGTTCCCGTTGGGCTGAAAGCGTACGGATCAGACTGCTGTAGCATGTCTCCAGCTTTGACAAAGGGCTAACGTTAGAAAAGTCAGCTTTACAAACTTTTTACGGTGACCAGTTTACATTATCAACTCAACGGTTGACTGTGAATTGTCTTACTAGTACACCATGATAATGTTTACAGCTCACCAATTTAAATCTTGGACGGTGTTAGACATTAACTACTGGGGCCAAAATCACTCGTATATGTCCAACGCACAAACGAAATTAACTGAAGTATTAAAGCGAAATGGACATTTGAGGCGGTTGAAACGTTGTACGAGATACGGGCCAAATGGCAAATTAAAGACGATGTAAAGCGACGTAAAGTGATTGATAAAGGCAGTATACTTAGTGAGGCGGTTCAAGTAGTTAAAGGGTAGATCTGAACGAATAAAATTTCTGTAAAGAACTTTATGAATGACACAGACAAAGAAAAATTATGGAGTAAAAGGCAACAGAATATCGATGAAAGTAATGTCCGTGAACACAAAAGAACTCCTTTAATAGCTTTTCCACTTTCATCGCTGAATTTTTTTCTTCCAGGATAAGCTGTTGAATGATCTGCTTCCGGACCAACATATGACACATAAACGGAAACAGATCCGAGACCGTGATTATCACCTTCTTTGAAGCGGAAGTTCGCACTTGGTGAAATTCCAAATTCTGCATATTCGTTTGAACGATGGCGTGCCATAATTATTATGTATCCGACTGAAAGTCGGGTCACCTGGAAGAGCCATTCACTCTGAATTCCACCCATCTCAAAAAGAATCCTTCTGACTTTGATGTAAATGTGAAACATCAGAAACGACTTGATCTGTTCTGGAACCTTATCGAGAGCTTCACGAGATATTCCACAACCTGTTGTTGCGCACCATACTGCGAAGTTGAGCTGTTGAGGCCGGTAACTCATATTCGCCCCGAAAGCCATCTCTGCGCCTAAAGAGTGCTGAATTTTCGTCCTTGTAAATATTCTACTGAATTTTGCATCGAAGTATTGGTTTGGGGCAAGAAAGATCTTATTCTCCTCGTTGAAGCGACTTATTGCATTCGCATGAAATGGAACTGCTGGCACCTCCTTCTTTATTACTCGGCTCAGGGTCAGTTCACAAGAAAAACTCCAACTTCAAGTGCCTTCCTCATGTTATCATCCTAATATCGTTTGTCTGATTTTGAGACACTCGTCTGAACTTCACTGATCTGATCGATTGAAGTATCCTTCAACTGTTACCTGTCTTTGTAATCAAACGACACTTGCCGGCGCAGTAAAGTTACTCAGGTCTACATTTGGATATCGTGCTTTGAAATCATTCCAAGCTTTTCTCCTTGCATTATCTGCAATTTTACTCGCTTCATCTAATCTTAATCACGCAAATCCCAAACGGGGTCGGAACTCAAAGATTTAAACATTTGTATTGCTTTTATAATCAAAATAGTTGTTTTGACAGTTATTGCAAATTTAAATGGTTACACAGTTCGCCTCAAAGAGCCGCTACGCAACGAAAAGTATCAACATATCAGACCAGTAAGCTGTTCTTTTTTCAACACTTGATATAATTTAAGTCGTCCTGGTGAAGTCTCCGTAATTAATGCACATGGCACTCCAACAAAAAAGAAAATTCCTGAAGGTAATTATTCACTCATCGAGGAGTGACTAGAGTGAAGGTAGAAATGATTACTCCGAAAGGAGTATTGGAAATCCACAATCCTCAAAATAAGCATATCCTTCTTGCCAATGATCTGGCTGATCTTCTCGGAATTACATGACGTTTCAAACCATCTACTTATCCAAAAGGTTTAAATTATTAACCAACTACTTTCTTTACTGCGATCTTTTGGATAAGAATGAAAAAATAATTAAAGGAAAACCCTCGAGCGTTCTTGGATGCTTTGACATTGGATGCTTCGGGCAACTCTGTGACAAGGTTAGTATTATTCTGAAGTCCAAACTCAGCGAAAAATACCACCGAGGAATTGCATCTAATCTATGCGAATTTTCGAGACTGACGAGAATCAATGGCCTCCCTTTGAGGTTTGAGTTAGAGATAATTTATGGGTGCTCCCTCAATAATCCCACTCCACTCAGAGAGACCGCCGTACCGCTTGAAGACAATACAGCCGATGTTACTCCTGTCACAGCCTTTGTGTGACAAACGGATCTAATTTTCTTTAATTTGCCAAGGCCACGTCGGTAATGAGAAACTTCATTTCAATCTGAATTCATTTCTTGGAATTCTTTGGCCGCAAGAGAAAGTATCCAATAGAAATCTCGAGGTGGATTTTATACGTTTAATAAACACAACTGAGGTTACAAGGTCTTCGCAGGTTCGCGAGTGAAGGTTAAGAGAACTGACAACGCTTCGGTTTTACGAAATTATTGGGAGTGTATTTCCGGACACGTTTACATACTTCTGTAGTAAAAGCTTAGATTACACGATTGCGTAATGTGTGTCTCAGTCCCCGACATTCATTTGGTATTATTGGATGAATAAGCGATCCGCTTGGGACGCTTAGGCCGCTTCGCAGTTCCTGGCATGCTGCCGACCCGAAGAGCTTACCGCTCCACGGCCTGCCCCTTCGGGAATTGTGTCACTTTGCGGCCCTCGGCTCAAAGATCTTAACGCTCCGCAGCCTGCCCCTTCGGGGCTTCGCAAAATTACTTCAGAGGACATTTTTAAATCGGCGGGCTTAGACGGCTTTTTGGGATTTACATCAACATCATTTAGTGTCGGGAGCAAAACTCTCAATAAAAAAATAACAAAATATGGAAAACTATTTCAATCCCTGAGACAAATCACCTGTCAGCGGGTTGTTTTCAAAGGCGATTGGAAATAATTCAACTCAGTTGAGTTCA